CTGTGGATTGTAAAGATCTGAATTAGTGAAAGTAATTTCCTAGAGTGTATCAGATGTCTTACAGCTTCAGAATGCGAAGTTGCCTGCGTAGGATTCGTCACTATTTTATAGCTTGCTTGAGTAAATCACATAGCCTTGATTGGCCTCTGAATCAAGTGGCTGCAATTTCCATAAACATGTATTTCGAATAAAACATAAAAATGTGACTTCTTACCTTAAGGTAGCTCTGTCTTTGTAACCCACCTAACTCACTGTGTACAGATTTCTTGCAGTTCACTCTCATTTTATAGGCTCGGTTGTAGTGTAATATTTGCAATATTATGGAGAGTTCACAGCTGCTCCTGGCTGTGATCAGAAAATGGAATATTGGCTTCAGAATTATCTTCTGAGCTTGTGCTGAGTTTCTCCTGGAATGTCAGTAAGAGGGTGTTCTGTGCATCAGCCGTGTTGTGTTTGGGAAGAACAAGGCAGTGCCTGTACAAACCCCTTCAGGAACGTTCTGGGGACGTGCTTGGGCTCCTGCCTGGGTACAGCAGCCAAAACCAGGCAGGTTATGGCACTTCTGAGCTGCTTCCATCGTGGTTACAGGATGTGTAACTGTTCCTCCCTCCCAAGGAGAATGGTGAGAAATGTGTTTAATAAAAAAGCAGGGGGGAATGCTCTGAATAAAATATTTACTTTATTACAGTAGCAATCTGATCCAAGACAAGCTTTTCACTGTGTAACGAGGTCCTTTTATTGGGCACTGGGCTGGCAATGATCTCCTGACATAACTGTGTCTTCTCTCCGTGTGTGTCTGCTGGGCAAGTGACATTTCTTGTCCTCCTCTCTTCTCATGTGACACATCTTCCATTTCCTGAATTGCTCTGTAGCCTTCCATTTCAGTCCCATTAATCTTGCTGCAAGGTGGCTGATTCGAGTCCATGAAGTGCTCCCAAGTTTTTCCTTACAGTTTTCACCCAGGGTCCATTGAGAGGTTTCCAGTGGAAAGATTTGGGCTGTTTCATCCTCCTGTCCTGCTTCCTCTTTGCCCCTGGGCTGCACCCCCAGCCTGACTGCAGACCTTTAAAAAGTCCTTTCACGTTTCTCATTTGCACTATTAACATCCTCTGGGGGGGTTATTCCTTTGGAGCCCAGTTGTACTGAAGTCTGTTTGGTATTCTGTTTTAGAAATAGTAATCTATTCACAAATTAAATATATTCTAAACCTTCATGTTCAAGTTCATAAGTTTTTCAGCCCAATTATTTTCAGTAAACAGTTACCATAGTTACTCAGAGACTCATCTAAAATCAAGATTGAGCCCAGTGTTTGTTCAGCATTTCATTTAATTTAAACTGAATCATCTTATGTGCATTTGCTCCAAGGTTGTTTGGCCAACTCATTTGTAATGTCCTCTTTGCACATCAAAATCACACTCACAGTGGTGTCGTTTCATGAGAACTGGTTAAATATTTTGGAAGGAAATTTGGCAGCTCTCACAGTAATGAAATGTATTTTCCCCTCTCTGTGCAGAAAGTTTGTTCCTATCTTGATACAATTTCTATAAGCAATAACATTGAAAAGCTTTCCCATCAAATCCAATCCTAGAATGCTCCTGAAAATCTTGAGCAAACTCATTTGTTTGCTTATCATTCCCTAAAATTATTTTGGCTCAGACAAATTCTGTTTTGTCATTTCTCCTGTCTCCCTGTTTCATAACACAAGTATATCTGTATTTCTGCACTTTATTTCTGTAATTTATTTTTATCACTGTTCATTATAATTTTCCTTAGATGTTTTCATCATTTTAAATGATGCATTGGATGTGCAGGTTAATTATTCATTATTCAAAGAGCAAACACACACACAGTAAAATATTTCACTTACATTGTTTTGATATATATTAATTTATTTCTCCTTTTATTAGTTATATTTTTTTATATTCTTTAAGGAAAAGCTGTACTGCATAATTTCAACTATAAAATGTTATATTTGTGCAATAAATTCCAGTCCTTGCCTCTTTATGTGCACTGGTAGTGATTTTAATAACATTGTTTCTTCGGTGGCTTTTGCACCCAAAAACCTGTCCATTTGTCCCCTCAGTTGATCTCATTTAGGTACTTACACTGACTGTTATTCGTGGTAGAAGGAGCAGTTTGCAAACTGAAACCATGAACATGAATTCCAAACTAACCCGTAAGGAAGAGTGAATTCAGTGGGTGAACAACAGATTTTTCCAGGTTGCAATAGAATTAGCATTAGTGGGAGATTACCTGTCCTGTGGCAATCCTGCCTTTAGCTCCTCCAGGCAAACCTTAAATCTCTGCTGAATGTCCTGTGTGGAGGGTGACAGGGAGCAGCTGTCGTGGTTCAGCTCAAGCTGATAGAGTGGAGCATCTTAGAACAACCCAGGATTCTCAACTGGAATTCTGGAGGGAATGAGATGCAGCAGAGGCCTAAAGAAAAGTTTTCAGATTGGTGGGAAAAGGTAATAATTGCATCAAAATTTGCACTTTTCTAATTCTAAAAGGTAACACGTTTGTAGCAGTGTGTGCTACAATAAGTATAAATTCCTGGAGATCCTTCTCTGTTACCAATAGGGAGAAAAAAAAAAAGGAATTATTAAAAATTATCTGGATTTTATCTTCATAACCTGAACAGGTTCAATTAGTTGAGAGATTGTTTGCAGTCTATATTTGCACTCTGCTTGACAGGCCTGTTATTTCATGTTGGTTGCTGGGTTTAGTAGTGCTAAACAAATATGTGAGGTTGTTCACCCTGTGCAGGAAGGTTGCAGTGGCGACAGCCAATCCAAACCCTGATGGTCTTGCTTTTTGATATATGATTCATAGAATTTATGAATCATACATAAAAAATAAATCCTCTAACTGAATCCATCCTTTGCTCTGTGTCATGTGCTGCAGGTAAAAGTATGCCTGTCAAAAAGAGCTTTTGCAGACTCTTCTCCAGGTCTTCCCTTCCCTTTGAAGGAATGAAAGGATTCCATAAAGTCTGCAAAACTTCCATTTTTGACCTGGGTCATAGCTGGTTTGTGAGCCATCATTTTAAACTCCTTTCCCTGTGGTTTTTTTTTTTTTTTCCTGCCTGTGATATCCTTGTGCCCGTCATCATCCACTTTATAACATAAATGTACTTCCCTCTTTCAGTGGCCTGCCCTGAGAGGGAATGTTTTGGGGAGAGCTTTTGGGGAGAGCTCTGCACTTCTGCTCCTGGCAAGCAGTTATGTTGATTTGTGTTGCTGTTTATTTAGTATGTCATGGAACACAGGGAATTACAGGAGACACAGGACACATTCTCTGCCTTTACACAAAGCACCTGCACAATCTTAGATGGCAATTTTTCTCCATGTGGATACAGCCTGTTTAATTTAGGCTTGTTCTCCTGCTGTCTGATCCAATCACTTGATTCAGTCTCTTGATGATATCAGGATGTTCCTTCCTGGTTTTCAGGAAGGTGCCTGTCAGGGAGCTGAGCTGTTTGTGTGTCCGTAGCAGCTGGACAGCATCTGGAGGAGCTCCAGGCTAAGTGTGCCCTGCTCAAGTTTCCATGAGGGCTGTTCACTGAGCTGGGTGGGGGTCATTTGGATCCCTGTCCTTTTCGTGGGGTGAACAACTATCATGTACTTATTGTATTGCCAGAGTGTCAAGAGCACCATTAAGGAAAAGTGAAGGTTCAACACCCTCGAAGATGTGTGGATATCACTGGAATTTATTCCTCTGCCTCTGAGTGGAAGGCACTTGGGTATGAAGAGCTCTTTGCCAGTTGGGCTGCAGTACATTGTGGCAGGAGAGGGAATGTGTGATTATTGATTACTTCCGTGTGGGGACAGCTGATGAGGTGTTCAGGCTCTTGTTATTCGGATGAATCAGCTGCTGGTCACTTTGTGCTGACTCACAGTCAGAGCTGGATGTGAGTATTTGGATGGATTTACAGTAACTTCATCCTTTTTCCTCAGGGACGTGCCAGTCTGCAGGACTGTTACACTCATTGTTCTGCTGTGTCAGGTAACAAAATATTCTACTTTCTTTTATTCTACTCAAGAAGATCTTGCTTTCATTACACGGGTCAAAGCTCTTCCGATAAATTTCTGTCAGGTTTTCTCCCCAGTTAACCTGAGTGACACATGGAGGTGTCTTTGGATGTAGTTGTAATTGAGACATGCATGAGAAGAAGTTTCAAAAATCTGCTTTGTAGAAGACTGAAGTGGTTTTGGCTGATGGGAACACATGTAGAATATCTCTCTCTTAAACATAGGAATATTGTAATGCCTTTCACAAGGATTGTATTTCAAATTAATTTTGGAATCTGAAGCTTATATGAAGACTTGACCGTCCTCTACTTGTTAAGTGGAGGATCTCACTCTGGGCACATGGCACCAGCAGTTAGAAACCAGATTTGGCTATCTGCCAAACTAACCACAATTTCATTATTCCAATCTTAACAAAATTAATTTTTTATATATTTTTTGTGTCGTACGCATTATTAATTTTTAATATATATATGCACAATACTAAATGTATCTAGATAAAAATAATCAAAATTATTGCACAGATGAACACATAGGATGTCCACATTTTCAATATAAATATGTAATTAATATGGACAGTGCCATAGTAGGCAGTGTTGAACAGTGATTCTTGGGTGCTGAGTGCCCTGCCATTACTGGCTGTTCCTGTGCTTGTGGTTCTCAGTAGCTGAGCTGGGGAGGTTCAGCCACAGCTCAGCTCTGTGCTCTTGCGTTCCCATAAGGAAAAATGGGATGAACTTGGATGGGTCCAGCATGACTTCAAATGATCCATCTCAGTACTTCAAAATTCCAGCTTTTCCAATAGTTTTTGCTAGTGCTGGCTTTATTCGCAGATCACTGCGTGGTCTCTGCGCAGGTGCCGAGGTCCCGGCCAGCCCCACTGCTGGCTCGGGGCTGCCCCGGCCCGCTGGGCAGTGCCGTGGTGTGGGAGCGGGAGGGCCCCTCGTCCTCTGCCAGAACGGCTGCGGGAGCTTGGTCTGAAAGGGCACTTGGTGCCAGGGGAGGGCTTGGAGCGCCGGGATCCAGCGGGTGCCGCTGGCAGCGGCAGCGGCGGCGCCGGAGCGGCTCCAGCACCAGGGACAGCGGGCTGGGAGCCGGGAGCGGAGCGTGCCGCTCCTCCCGCTGCATCCAGCGGGATCGGGACAGTCTCTAAACACGGCACCACGGCAGGTTTCGTTTGGTCCTAAGGCTGCTGTGAGGGACGTGGGACGGAGCAGCGGAGTGTAAGTGAAAGCACGGCAAGAAGGGATTCCCGCCCTGCCCCTCCAGCCACTCCAGGATGAAAACATCCGTCGCTTGTCCTTTTTACACATCATCACTGTGTGCAAAAAAGGACCCAGAACTCCTCAACCCTCCGCCGCTATTCCCTGGAGCTGTGTTAGATAGTTCTCCATGAACCAAGGTCCAGTTGTCCCTGAAACACAGCGACAACATCAGAGAGAGCACTTATAAAAACCAGCCCCAAACTCTGCATTCCCTTGGAGAGATTTGGCTAAAGATGGATTGTGTGATAGCTCAGATCAGTTAATCAGCAACCTGTTCATTTCCATGAGTGACAAAACTAGTTCTCTGATGTTTTCTCTCAATAGTATAAATTTTTTAGCATGAAAGAGGTCTCTTTCACAGCAATAAATACATAAATGATAAGAAATATGTAAGGTCAGAAATGAAAAAAGGAAAAAGACCAAAAAAAAAGCATGTTCACAAGGAGAGTTCACTAATGCTTCTGAACTCCCATTTCACAAAATAAGACAGGAGTTAATTATTACTTCTGGTAGGGTTTCTTATATCCTGAACATTAAAAGAAATTAATAGGAAAAGGTATAAATTTGTCACAACAGTGCTAATTAATGTTCTATGATTTCTCACTCCTTTAATAGGTAATTTACTGTAGTGAGAGTGTTATGGATAAATGAGAATGAAGCTGCAATAGTATTTTCCTCCAATTTCTTAATTATTCATGAAACATGAAGTTTCAAATTAATCTTTTCCTTTTTTACTAATTGAAGAGCAAAATACTCTGTTTCTTTAGCAGCAGGAAAACATTTGTTCAGCGTGATCTGGGATCTTTTTTATATAAAGGTCCATCTGACCAAATAATTACCACCTGCACTGTAAATTTTTGGTAATTGTACTTAACATATTGGTATTAAAGCATTAGTCAGTCCATTCTCTACTTTTGTGGTAAAGATAAATAAATATTATTCTCCTGATTTAATCCAGGTACCTTCTATGCAAGCAACATATAAACCTACAGACTGGGACATGGTGGCACAACAACGTTGGTCCATGCTTGTCCTTATGCAGGTCTTGGTCTTTTTTAAGTTTAGAGTTTGTATTCAAGCAATATTACAAATAGAGTAAAAGTAACTTTTGGCATTATATGTGTAATTGCAAGGTGTGTAACTTGTTCTTTATTTTCATTTTTTATGGGGGGTTTTATTAGGCGAGACTTAACTCCAAGTGCCTGAAATGCTGGAAGGGTTTGGAAGTGCCTCTTTCTCTGCCCCCCATGACTTTAGGTTGCCTTCACTGTCAAGAAGGTAAAAATAGGCCAAGTTCTGGAATGTTTCATGCTGACTTCCATTCTGCATGAATAAAAACTTTGGTACTAAAGGAATGGAAAAACAGAACCCTTGTAACGTTGCTAAGATTACCAAAAAGTTACGTTTGCAGCTTCTCGAGTGATAAAGGTAAATGTTCCTGGTTGCTGTTGGTCATGAGCTCCTGCTGCAGACCATTAGTTAGGAACAGATGATGACTGACAACTGGAACTGCCTGGAGTAGAAGGGTCTGCTTTCCACTGGGAGAAATGTCAAGGTTGGGAGCAGACTTAGGTGAAGGAAGTAGTGGGGCACAAATACTGTGATTCCTTAGAGGGAAAAACTACTGTCATTTGTTGCATTTCGATTCCTAATGAGATGGTCTGGTCCTTTCTTGATAAGGAGAAGATCCATGGGGTGGCCCTGTGCAATGGGACAATAAGTGGATTTTGGTTCTGCCCATCACAAGCTGAGATCTGATTAAACACTTCAGGAGGTGACTTCATCAAAGGAAGGAGCTCAGTTCTTGGGACACAAAAGCCCCTGCTTTGAGGCACAGAAGAGAAACACTTGGTGCTTCAAAAGGACCTGTGAAGTCATCAGAGATGGTGATAAAGTGTATTTGTCTTTTTGTTTCTCCCTGAAAGGTGAGGAATTTATATTTTAATGGGAAAGTCAAGTTGTTTAATGGCTTAATCCATCTTAACAGTGGGAAAGAATATGAACTTTAAAGAAACAAATAGGCCAAGTTGGAACCCCAAGTGTAGAAAAGGAGGTAATTCAACCAAATAAATTGTCTGTCAGAGGGAGTTAAAATTCATCCTTGATTTATTTCTTTTTTCTGGTAGTAGGGATTCTGGGCCATGTTTCTAAAACTGAGGTTTGAAGTAATAATGGAAGTAGAAGTCACCAGCAAGTATCGGCCTGAGAATGGGGAGAAAGGGTAAAGTGTGGGGCTGCTCTTACCTGAAAGAGAGGGCAGGAGGGTGATACATTCCATGATACCTTAGGGCTGGGACAACTGAGAAAGATCCGCTTGCAGGGAGGCATAAGAATCTCTGCTTTCTGCACTCTGACCTTCCATTGTCCCTTGCAGAGCATTTGAAAGGATTGTGCAGTTCCCTTGATCTATTTAAGAGAAAGAAACTGTGTCAAATCTCTCCAATCCCAATCCAGCTGTCTTTCAGATCACATCTATATTACAGCAAGATAGTGTGATATAAGATGAACCCTCTAATGTATTTTAATTAATTAAAACTGTGTTATTAATGCACAGTCTCTTTGGATAAGGACAATTGTGTTTGCAGTAACAGACTCATGAGCAACTCACAATACTTCTGACACAGCAGCTCCTGCACACAGTGGATGTTCAGTAACTTTTGCCAGTGTTATTCAGTGATTAGTGCCTTCCTACTGACTTGACTTCAAGATTATTTAAATAAGGTCTTCAAGCCTGTATTTGCCATTATTTCAATACAAGTGCAACACAGAGGTTTAGTGGCAAAGCCTCAGAACAGCACCTCAGGAAACTTCTGCCAGGGGAGGTCACTTTTCTCTGAAAATTGTGAATTTCTGGGCCCTACGATGTCCACCAACAGAAGTTGTTTTTGTAGGAGCTCTGACACTTACAATAGGTTTTAAAATTTAGTTTGACTGCTGAAGTCAGTTCTTGAAACTTAACAAAACCATAAAACTATTTAAATAGAAGTAGGCTTTGGATTCCAATGCTGTAGTGAGGTTTTTTTTTTTAACGTGAAATCTTTATGATAAGGAAAAAAACAAAAACTGCTTCAGAAAATAAACCCACAAAACCAACCCAAACCCTGGGGTACATAACCCTGAGAATTTCCTGCTTCTGCTCGCTACAATGCTACGGTGTTCTTCCCCTGCTTTCCAGAGCAGTATGAATATTGAAGTTGGCAGGTGTGAGCTCTGTTAAGAGAGCAAAGAGAAAAAGAGACAGAAGCAATAGTTGTTTTGCAGCCCTGCACAGCTTTGGTCTCTCCTTTGCACGTGGGTAATCCTGAATCCCGACTTGCTGCCTGGGACATCAGTGCCTCTGCCTCCCTTGCAGGATGGGATGTTTGTTCACTGCTACACTTATGCTGAGAGTATTTACTAAGGCAATCAGTGTTTATGCAGAGGTGATAGGAGCCTCATTAAACTGGTGAATGCAGGGATCAGAGGAACAGGCGTAAATATATTTGGTAACTTTAACTTACGCAAACTTGCATTCCACTGACTCTGCAGTGAATTACACTGAGTTTTTTCCTTTCTGAAGTGGGTCTTGTGCCCCTCTACTAACCCTCCCTGAAAACAGATATCACCAGCAGCAGTGCAGAGAAGTGTCAGGAATAAATACAGCACATAATAGTATGTGCTGTATTTCAAATACAGGTAATGCACCATCAGTATGATTGTCCCTGGTAATGTTGTCATTTGTGTGACCATGATCAGGATGTGGATGGCCTTTAAAAAAGGTATTTTTTGTGTACTATTAGTTCCTTGCAGTTTCCGTTCTGTCAACTACTTTGGTGTCCTCAGAGTTTATCTAACCTTGCCAGGTTCTGACCTTACCTTCCCAAGTTCACCTTCAGTCCATATTTACTTTAAGGGGAAGATTCAACTCATATGTGGTTGTGTTTTGGAAGAAAAAAATCTGCTGTGTTTTTTCTTAAGCAGGAAAAGTATCAGTTTAAGTACTGGTCAGCTTGGCAGCAAGAAGAATCCATGAAGTGCTGAGGCTGTGAAACGAAGAGCCTGGAAGAATTAACCAATTCCTGTCACTACAGAGGTTTTCTGCTCCCAAAGTACTAGGAAGAGATGAAAAGGTATTTATTATTGACATATACAGAGATAAAAAAACAAACCCAGTTTCTCAAACCCAGCAGCAGCCTATCTCCAACAGATGCAACTCAATGACTTTGTCGTGCTTTGTCCCTTCAAAAAGCTATTTCTGCATGCTGTGGGAGTGCCTCAGGAAGGGGAGGAATGAAGCTATTGTAAATATAAATGCCAAAATGTGAATATGAATTAAGGTAGGATTGAATAAGTTGTTTCTTCTAAATGAATAATGTACAAGCACGGCTTCATTCTTGGCCACTTGCTGTTTGCACTCCACACAGGAAAGCGAAACCCAGCATCCCAAACCCAAACAAAAACCCAAACAGAAAGCTGGCCTTACTCGGTGGGGAAACAGTAGTTGCACGTGTTAAAAAAATAAATAATGAAGGTTTCCACAGCAACCCAAGTTCTGTAGTGCAAATTGATGACTTTCGTTCTGTTTTATTATATAATCAGAGAACAGATATTCTATTAAAAGTGTTGGGTACATCTGAAGTTATATTGTTTAAAAGTTTGGTGCAATTCTAAAACTTCACGTCAAGGAATTTATTTACCAAGATTTCTGAAAATGCTGCATAAAAAGTTTTCTTCCCTCAGCTTTGGGGAGGCTCTGACTGGGGCAAGGGCACTGCTGTGGCAGAACATTGCAGGGGTCACAATTTCAACTGCAGGAAAACTTTTTAAATACTTATTCCAGCTTTTCCTTTGCCGTGAGGAATTCGATTTCAGGTTTTATGGAAAGAAACGGAAGATGAACTTAAAATGTAAAGGCTGTTTCGCGTTTCGGGTAGGTACTCGTTGCGGAAACTGCGCAGATTTTGCTGGCTCATTAGAAGCTTTGGAGATTAATAAAAACAACAGGAAAATGAACCGACGGCACCAGCCCGATCTGGTGCCGGTGCTGAAGATGACTTGGTTTAGCGCTGACAGCGCTCGCCGGTCCCGGCAGTGCTCGGAGGGGCCGGGGTTGAGCACACCGGGCGGGGGTCGGGCTGGCCCCGGTGGTGACAACCAGGGCCGCGCTCGGTGCTGCACTGCGGCCTCCCGGGAGCCGCTCGTGCCGGCGGGGATGGGATGGAATAGGATGGGATGGGATGTGAGGGGTTGTCCCGGGATCAGAATCACACACCACACCCCCCCTCCCCTCACGGGCCACGCGCCGCCGCCCCCGCGCCTCGCGCCCGCGCGCGCCTCGTGCGGCCGCGCGGGGCTGAGGGAGGCGGGGGGGGGGGGAGCGCGAGGGGGGGGCGGCGCGATCCGCGCGTGCGCGGCGGGTCCGCCGGGAGCGGGGGGGGCGCGGCAGCCGCGAGTCCTCCGGCGGCGGCGGCGGGAGCGGAGAGGAGCGGAGGAGGCGGCGCGGGGCGAGCAGGGGCCGGGGCCGCCCGAGCTCCGCGGGGCCGCCGCCACCGCAGCGCCGCAGCCCGCGGGGGCCGCGCTACGAGAGGCGCCGGGCCGGCGTCGCGCGCCCGCGGGCGCTGAGGGGAGCGGCGCGGCGGCTGCTGCTGCTGCTGCTGCTGCCCGGGCGGGCGGGCGGGGGGCGATCTCCCCCCCCACCCGCCCCCAGGCAGCGGCGGAGCGGCCCCCGAGAGCGGCCCCGGCCGGAGCGGCCGGCGCGGCGCCCCCGCGGATCGCGGCGGGGGAGGAGAAGCCGCCCCCGCTCGATGAGCGGCGCCCGCCCGCCCGCCGCGCTGTGCCCGGGGATCGGCGGCCGCGGCCGGCGCGCTCGGCAGCATGTGGAGTCCCACCGAGGAGGAGAAATACGGCGTGGGTAGGTGCTGCCGCAGCGCTCCCCCCCCTCTCCCTGCCGGACCCCGCGGGCTCGGGGGTGGGGGGCGGCTCTTCCCTCCCGCGGGTGGGACCGGCGGGTGGGTTCGGCGGGGGCGATGGGGCTGCGGGGGCTGCCCGCGGGGAGCGGCCCCTGCCCTGCCCTGCCCTGCCCTGCCCTGCCCGCACCGCGGGATGCGCTGCGTGTGCTCCGGTTCTCCCTGCGCTGCCGCGGCACAAGCGGAGTTTGGGGGCCCCGCGCTGGGGTCGCGGTCGCGCAGATAATCAGAAAACGAGTCGCTGAGCCCTTAATCTACTTAAGCGCGCGGTTCCCTTTTCCCTGCGTTTCCATCTGCGGTGCGTGGCGGTGTGTGGAGGGAGTTGGGAAGGGGCCGCGGTGTCTTTAGGGGGCGTCGGTGCTGCACCTGCCCGGCGAGGAGGGGGCGGCCGCGGGGAGCCGGGAGGGACCCCGGCCCTGCAGCCCCGGGGGTGCCTCCGGGGTTGTTTTTCGTCGTCCTGGTAAATCAGATTTTACAGTCGTCCGGCGTCGCGTTTGCTCTAATCTGAGGCATCCCCGCTGGCGGCTTTGGTTTTGTTATTTTAGTGTGCAAATCCCTGATAGGAGCAGAAATGTTACGTCTGATGAAATGGAAGGCACGGACTTTCGTTTGCTTCACTTGTTTTGATTTAATATTTTTAAACTGTTGTGTTGTATAATAATAAAAGCCGGTACTGCTGCCCTGACTAGTTACCTGAATGCCTCATTAAATTTATAGTTATCAATTGTGCATATGGATTTTTAAGTTCCACAGTGTGTAGTGATGATCGATTTATACAGATACTTAAAAAAATACAAACAAATTTCATACAAAGATCTGTTAACCTGAGCTGTTAAAGTGAGATTTCGGCCACAGAATTTTGAGCAATTAATAGCTGTAATGCCTTTTTGTTAAAATTCTTTTGGTTGATTCAATAATTTAAAAAAGAGTTGCTAATTTTTCATCTTGAGCAACAAATATTTTCTTTAGTACATCCCACATATCTCCATAACGAATAGAAGAAGTGAGAGATTTGCATGTGTTTAAAAAAAACAAAAACCAAATGCAGTGTTAGATGGGAACCTGTCAGTGCAGGGAAATATATACAAGTGGCATAAAACAACACAGCGAAGTCGTTACTTAAAATTCTGTTGCTCTGTCAGTCAGTGGGAGTATACAAAGTTAACAAGCCCTGTTACACCTCAGCTGGATGTTCCCAGGAATATGAAGTATCCAGACTGTCATAGCTCAGCTGCTGGCCCAAGGCCACCTCTGTTGTCCCAGCACAAAACCTGCTGCTAGAATCGAGATGGAGGCTTCAGAAAATAATTACCCATTTTACAAGTCTGTTCTGGTTACACTGTCAGTTATCTTTGCTGTGCTGCAGGGTTTGATATTCAGTGTTGTGTTTGTTTGTGTTTGGCCTGTGTACATAAAAAAAAAAAAAATGCTGATGTTACCTGGATCCAAAAGTAGGTGAACTAATTTTTTTTTTAATGCAGACGTTTGGGAGGAAAAGCTGGGAAATCTCCATTCAGGTTGTAAACAAGGCAGGAAGAGGCATAGGAAGGGAGAGCAGTGAATGAAAACAAGCGTCGTTTCAATGAGTGTTCTGTAGTCTGAGCAATGCTCCCCTAAGGATGGAGATTTTTGTTTTGCAGACAACACACCTGTAGGTAGGGCTGAGGTAATGGCTGAGTCATAAGAGTTTTGGTGATCTCCAGGCAAGTTCTTCTTATTCTTGCGTAGCTTTAATTACTTCTCCTGTAATTGAAATTTGTTGATGATTCTCCGGAGAGAGGGAAACAGGTGAAAAATGCAGCTTTTGTCTGGAGTTTGGTTACTACAGGTGGGGAGAGCAGTACCGGGTTTTTAAAAGTCATTGCTGGCTGGAGTGGTCATTTTTGTGCAGTTTTGGAGAAAATAGTCTGCAAAAGGTGAGGGTTTACTGTTGGGAGGGGCACTGGGGGGAAAAGAAAAAAAAAAAGGAAAACCCCCGATATTTCTTTTCCCAATGTGATTTATCCCGATTTCATAAATTAAATAATATGTGCTAAAATAGTTTTCTTGGCATGAGTCACTGTTATGAGCTTATGCCTTGGGCTTTAGTAGTTTGGTTTTGCTAAGAGCACACTCTGTCTAAAAAAATGCTGTGTGTTTTTTCCACGAAGAGTTCTTGATTTGCCTTTGGATTAAGGCAGTAAACTTTCTGTCCCTGTTGAGGTAAGGTGGGTAGGGGAAAAATTCAGTTCTTTCTGCAGCTGGAATACCGCAAGGAACTTTCTGGTGGAATGGAAAGGAACGTCTGGGCATCCAGGCCCTGGACATACCTGTTCTTGTGCATCGAGGAAAGGGGAAGTGCCCTATAAAGCGGTTAATTCTGATGCTGTTCTCTTTGTTGAGAGGCAGTTGGGATCTGAGTTGTTGTCTTACTCAGGTAGCTGCCTCAGAGGTGCTAATTCATAGGCACTGCTCCTTCAGAAAGACCCCACATTTCCCCTCTCAGCACGTGGGTACGGAAGGGCTTTGTGTTCTGCCCTGGCCTCCAAGGAGGGTCACACAAAGGCATTTCTCATGTGCTTGCTGGAGCCCCTTAACAGATACTCCCCTGCAGCCACAGGCTCCTGGCTGCTGAGGGCAACATCAGTGGCTTTGGGGCGCTCCTGAGGTTCTCTGTGCCTGCCTGCCTGCAATTAAAAGAAGTTTTCCATGCTTACAGCTGTAGAATGCCAGTGAATTGCCCAGTTCTCATACAAGCCACTGTATATATCTACCACAAAGATGCTCAGGATATTTCTAAATAAATTAAACACTCCCCTGACAACACTGAAGTTCTTCCTTGATTTTATTTCTCAGCTACTATAGCAACTACCTGGGAGCTGTTGTGAGTAATGCCCCTCTATTTAGAAATACTTACATTTTAATCCTAACTCTGCTTTTCAAACTTGAGACTTGCTGATGAAAAGCAGACAGTTCTTCCACAGGTGCTGAAGGTGACCAGTTATGGACACAGGAGGATTTCTGAGCTGATTATTGAAGAGAACTCTCTCTCTAGCGCTCTGTTGTTTTAATATTTTTAAAGCAGCCTCTAAGAAAATATTTATTGAAGTGATCTGATTAGTTGCTTTAGTCATGTAAAGCAAACATTAAATAATAATGCATTAAAAAGAAACAAGCAGAGAGAACTCTTTAATAAATAACATTTGAGAGCTGATTATTTCATCAGGCTGTCAGTTTTTGCTGTTACATTTTTGTGCAAGGAGAACTTTTTGGTGGTTCTCAAGAAAGTTTTTGTTGTTGTTTGGGTTTTTTTGTAGTTGATGCTGTACTTTGTATGGCTGACCATATTAAATATGTATGTATTAAATCACAGAGGAGAAGAAAAACCTGCCTGGGTAAACAGCACCTGCTTTTAGTTTATTCCAAAAATTAGTGTTAAAATCTGTTAATAGTTTCATTTAAAAATGCATTTTTTATCTTTGTTTTCACTGCTTAACTGGTAACGATGAAAAATAAATCCATAAACACAAATACACGTAACTCAGATTTCCCTTGTTCCCCACTAAGAAAGGATGGAACATCATAATGTCCTAGTTACAGCTCTGTACTGCAGCTTCTGCTTTTTGATCAGTATCTGGATTTTTGATATTTATTTTTTTCCCCTGTCAGCAAAGCTTGGCTTGCACCTTTCCCAGTTCATGTTTGAGTTGGGAGGACCAGGGCTGCAGAACTCAGAGGAAGTCTCGGTTCCCTCTGCAGGGCTCCTGGGGTGTGACTGTCCCTACCTGCTCAGGCAGAAGGAGCTGCTGAAGGAGGAGGGCTGTGATGATGCTGTGATTCCCCTGTGTCACTGGGGTGCTTTGTTACAGGTTTGGAATGAAAAGTTTTAGAGAGAGAGAGAGAAAAAAGTCCCTTCCCCACATGAGGAAGGAGTCCATTGTTGATCTGGGCGGCGATACCAATCCCAGGGACTGGGTTCTGTGCTGGGGACATGGATTATATTTCATCTGCTCTCCTGGGCCCCAGTGCCAGAATGTGTAATTGTCTGGCAGCAGGAGGGAGGTGACTAAGGATGTTCTTCAGGGATCTGTGTTGGAAGGGATGTGCTTGGAAACCTCCTGTGCTGCACTGCTTTGGGGAGTGGTGCTGACACCTGGGGACTTGCCTGTTAGGCAGGAAGGCTGAATGACCCAGGGACTGGAGCAATTTCCATTTGCTGGTTTGCCCCTGAGGGCCTTTTTATTACCCACAGGCCTTAAGAATGAGCAAAGGAATTTGTCAGTCAGGGATCATAAAGGAAATGTATATGTGTTATTTAACTGGTGGGAAATGAATCACACCTTGAAGTGTCTCTGGGAAAGAGCAGCTCCCCAGGTGAGCCCGATGGGAGACTCTCAGTGCGGATAGGAGAGTTCAGTGAGGTGTCATTTCGTGCAGTGGGCAACTTCAGTTCCAGTCCTGTGTAAATCTCTAATTCTGCTGTTGCTGATAGAACTTGGAGACTACATACACTGTTTTGTCAGAAGAGATTAATATATTTTGGCTCGTTTTTCCTAGAAAAGAGTAGGCCAAAGACTCTGTGGTTAGACCAGTGTTTGTGAAAGCTGTCTTGCGGAGCTGGATGAGAATAATCTGTAAGGTATTACTGCTTTGAGATCATCTAAATACTAATTGTCCACAAATACATTACAGTAGAAATTAGCCAAAACTTTTTAAATAGAGGAGGAATGAGGTTGAGGAGCAAATTGTTGCAAAGGCCAGGAATCAAACGTGTATGTTTAGCAGTTTATTGTGGGGTATCCTGGAGTAAGGAGTGATAGTAGTGCAGCATAGGGGTTAACTTTTGGTGCTCTGGTGGTTTTTAGAGCAGTTTTCTCCATTTCTTTGCCATTGGGCCATATTGGGTATTCAGTTCAGACCTGCAGGATTCAGCCACGTGCCGGTAGGGTGGGGGCAAAGGCAGCTC